CATTGCAGTAATTTAGTGGAGCATTCCACTAAATAGAGCATTAGCTCCAACAGAAAGAGAAAAGGGTCTTCTACACGTCCATAGAAAGCTGACAACTCAGAGGATGTTGGGTTTTGGATCCAGCTAATCATAAAAGTTATTCAGGTTTTTAATGAAAAAAATGTACTTGAGTAATTAGAACCAAAAATTCACAGCAATCTCCACACTATGCCTTTTTCTCTGGAATGCCATTGTTTATTTGCTCTTTTTTTTTCTGTTTGTGGAACACCAAGTGTTGTTAGCCCATTGTTTTCTGTATTGCTTTTTTTCTAAATCTGATCTGTGGTATGTTTTTTATAATGTAATTGCAGTACTTGTTTACCATGGACTAATAAAAGCTTTTAAGGATCTTTGTGCTTTGTAAGCTTTTTCTATTTATAAATTTAGCCCATTTAATGGTTCATAGAGTCTTTTAGTGCTCTGATGTCAATTTCTGTTCCTGTAAGGAAAAAAAGCTTTAAAGAATGCTTTCTTGTTAATATTTATTTATTAATTTACTAAATTTTTACTTTAAAAAACCCATTGGTTAAAGTCTTTTATCTCTCTATTAAAACAGAATGACACTGGGACAAAGAAGAGGCTATTCAGTTTATAAGCTATTTATCATGAATCCCCTAGCCATGTTCATTAGGAAACTATAAAACTAGCTGAACCTTTAAAGATAGAAGCAGATTCCATTTTGATTATAATAACCCCTCCAGCATCTCACAGAGTAATTATGTATTATATGCAAGATTGTTACAGGGTTAAATGTCAATGTCAGATCTTAAAATACACTTCCTGTATTGAAGCAGGTAATAATTCCCCAGATCTCATGAGCGTTGCCATAATGTGTCATCTAAGTGCTTGCATAAATCTGACTCCCAAACTTGTTTAAAGCCATGTGTAGGATTACCTATATCTGTTTTCATTACATGAAAATTTAGTTAATTATAACAGGGAGTCTTGGCTGAATGGGACTGGTTTATGAGCATCCCAAGAGAATCTGGAAGACAAAGAGTGCACAGTATTGATGGAGCACGTAGTGTCATATACAATTCTCAAGTGGCCTCTTTTTTAAGGCTACTTCAAGATAATGACAGCAAATAGCAGCACTAATGTCTCTAGTGCTGAAGCAAATTATAACTTGTATTTTTAACAGGTTTTCAGCAGAGAATCAAGCTTGGGATGAGCTACTTCTGTCCTACCAGAAAAAAGTTGAAGAAATATCCAGGTTAGAATATTGGCTGCCTTTTTCTATCCTTAGATTATTTTGAAAGTAGGGTTATAATGCCAAAGGCTATAAAATTCACATAATGAAATTTAATTGAAAAGCACAGAAAAGTGAGTATGGACAGGGCCTGCACATTTTAAGTGCCATTAGTAGTTAAGCCCCAAATATCGAAACTGATGCTTTTTAATATTTCCAAATAATCCACATTTAACAACTTGAGTGAGGAGGCAGTAGAATGAGCTGGCCAAATTTGTTGATGGAGGTTGGGGGCTGTTGAAGATAAGGAGAGGAGATCCAATTTTCAGCATGGGGAAAGGGTTTTAAGTAAGGGTTCAATACAGATATATAATCCAGTTAATGCTTGCTCAGGAATTTTTCTCATTTTATTAATCTTATTTTAACTGTTCACTGAGGGCTGATGTCTTTAAGAGCCATACAAGGTTTGCCAACGTACAACAAACCTGATAGTAACACCAGTAAAGGGATTTTGTGTTTTATCCTGTAGAGAAGGATTCCCTTCTCATCTCAAAAAACAGGTGAAGAAAGGACTGTTGCCCAGTCAGATATTGCTTGAGAATGATGGTTGGTGTCTAGCTGGGGAAAAAAGGGAGGGGTAGGGAACCCAGAAGAATGATGAGGGTTGGACCAGAGTCTGACAGGCACATACCCTGTAAAAGTGAATTTACTGGCCAACAAATACTGGTTATTGTCATCTGCCTTTTTATCTTTTAAGGCAGTTACAGTCATGCAAGCTGAAACAAGCGCCAGAGGAATCTTGCAGCTACCTTGGGACATCCCAAGCCCATGTACTTCAAGCCAAGCCAGACTATCAGAAAATACTGGATTGTCAAGGAGAAGTCTTTTATTGCCTAGAGAGAGTGGTGAGTGATGGCAGTTATAATATTAATTTAAAAAAAACAGTAAGGAATGCCAAAACCACGGTGGAACCATTAAATGATGGAAAGAGCCTTGCATTAAAAACAGGCAGAACTCTCTTCTGAGAATTTACAGCAGTTCACAAACAGCATTTGTACTACCTATATACTTTTGCTCTTCTCCATCTCCCCTGAAACAATAGGCAGGTGGTAATGCCAAGTTGGAAGACCTGATAATCTAGGAGGCCAGGATGATTAGCAATAGATTCTACCAAAGATGATGGATCAAATTAGTGTCTAGAAAGCATCCACTGTGGATGGCTTGCCGTTCTGTGTGCTTTAGAAGAACTTAGAAACTGAAGGCCTTGTAGTAGAAGTAAAACGATCAATTGAACATGGATTGTTGGGGCAGAAGACATTGGATACTAGACTAGTCAGGGAAGGAGGCAACATTTTTCTTGAGCCTGAGGAGCAGAGGTTGAAGATGAGGATAAATCCACCCGAAGTGATAGCATGGCTCAAGGACTAATATAATGATTAGGAATTTCTCATTTTGAAAGAATCTCAAAGCAAATAATATACTAGAATTAGAAATTCTGCCAGGGCTGACTAGGAGAGGCAGTGCAGGGCCAAATGATAAATCTGGGACACTCCAACACCATCTTTGTAAGGAATAAAAACCCCAAAGCAAAGAAAAAGATGGCAAGAATAGCTAGGTTAGACTTGTGTTATTTGCTTACAGAATAAGTGAAGAGGAAGAGTCTAGAATGCCAGTTAAAAGGAAAAACAGGTGTATTTTTCTGTTCCTTTACACTGTAGGTTCTCATAAGAAATGAAAGCTAGATTCTTTAAATTTTATGCAAGCTTCTGTATTAGAGGTTATATTCTGAGCTTTGTAGAACTGAGATCATAAATGGGTAGAGATGATTAAAAAGGGTATTCCATAGGGATACATGACCTCCCTGTGCTGGCTACAGAAAACTGAGAATAAGTCCTATTTCATGTTTCATATTTCCATTAATTTGGAAAAAACGGGATGGAAGAGTATCAGCCATTCAGAACCTCAGTATAAAGCATAGCACACAGTAAGAGGATAATTCATCCTGTTTTCTATTCTAAGAGGTCAGTCAGCACTGGAGGATTGGGGTGGAATTAGATGACTGTAAACGATAATGAGCTACCAACACAAAATGGGTGAATCTTTGAATCAGACCTTGAAGGTCTTAGAATGAAATTTTGAAAGGAGGCTAAGAGTATGCTTGTTGCCTAGGGAGGAGGGAGCTTCTTAAACATTTTCCACTGTTTGATTGGATCTGAAAGTTCTGAATGATGCACCCCAGCAATACTTAGTTTAGAATAGGAGAGGGGATTGGTCATTTAAAGGGATCAGAATAGACCATCTCTGTTGGATTGTCACCTTTTAAATGATATTTGTTTTCAGCTTGATGAAATCAGTCAGATGGTAAAGGTTTGTCAGACCTACGTGGAAGACATTACATTGTATCTCCAGAAGCTATCAGCACAACTTGGTAAGTCATGGAGTGGCTATTAATTTTGTATAACTGAAACAAATTCCTAGTGTTCTCTTTTCCTCATTTGTATCAAAGGCTTATTTTATATTTATTTATTAAGTTTGTACACTGCCTGACTCCCAGTAACTCTGCCTTGTACATATTGCCCAGTGCACAGAAAGATAAAAGTTACAAAAAGGATTAATTTGGTGTATGTATACATTCTGTCTAACACAAGTCTAATTTCAGGTATGCCAAAGGCTGAAAGTGAGTTTTTGTTGTTCTCCATTCCTACTGATTTATTTCAACCTGATTTTCAGCTCTATTATTTTGAGGCTTTAGATTTCTGTTACCAGTTCCCCATCAAGCACTAGGAGTTAAATGGTATGGGTGGTTTTTTTGTTGTTGTTGTTGTTATAGTAGGAAAAATATTAAACTCATAGAGTGTAATTGTATTAATTTTATTACATTTATTAATGTTGGGCTTTTTTGTCATGACTGATGGGTTCCTCATTTCCCACAGAATGGAAACTGGAAACACACAAACATTTGTTTTACCCTGAAAAGTTGTTCTGGGTAATTGGGGAACTTTACAAAGCAGTACTGTATGAGACATTGTAACAGTGGTGTAAGCATTAGAAAAATCCCCTTTTCCTCCATTAGATCTTTATGTTTTCTGTAAATAGAAATAGCTTTTTGCTTTGTGGCAAGATTACTCTGGATCCAACCTACTTACAAGCCCATGCCAATGAATATCAGTATTGCTAATAATGCAATTCAGAAGTCATATTGATTTTACTCTGCATTAAGAGAAATTCTGCTGCACTGCACATTGGAAAGATATGTTACATTAACAGATTCAGTTATACAATGCAGCCTCAGTGCATTTGGGCATCCACTGGAATAGAAAACAGATTGTATGAGAAAGGTTTATTTGGGGCTGATTTTACATCAAAAATATCACCAGGAGTTGTGGTGGGGAGGTCTGTGTCTTGCTTTATAGAGATTGTTTGGCAATTCATGCAACACTAAGGCAAGGTGTTGCTTAGTTTGCTGTCTAAATCCATCTCAGAAAACAAAACCACAATTTGAAACTTGTTTGTAGTTTTAACTATAGTTTGTTATGTCTGAATCCACAATTAACCTAGTCTGCAAAAAATGGCATTATCTTTCGACAAGTTTGGAGCTTCAGTAGATTTTTTTATTATTTAACATTCTTAATCGTTGAAACAGTCTTTAAACTTAAAGTAGGAACCAAAACAGAAAAAAAAATTAGACAACACCTAACAAAGAATACATACTAAGAAAAGAGAAAAAAATCTACCTTATATTTTATACTTATTAATAGTCACTAGTTTACTAATAAATTCACTATAATATCAGTACATAATATTGTAACATATCAGAAAATCTCTCCCATAGTGATAAATATTGCTACATCCTTTGATTACTAGAAAATACTGCCTTTTCCAAAACAAATAGATCACATCTCCAACAATCATTCCTTAACTTCTGGAATAATACCACACTTCCAATTTCTCAAGTGATCACATGACCATAAAGCTTAGCAGATCTATGATAAGACTTTTAGTGTCCTATTAGGTTTCCACAGATGATGATTTTGCTATTCTCCAACTTTCAATTAATAGACTAAGTGTCTGGCATTAATACAATATTATTTCTATTTCAGCATCAAGGACTTTCCTGAAATTAGAGAAATCACCAGCCCGGAAACTTCTCAGGCTTCTCCAGACAAAATCATCTGTACTGCCACCTCCATAGTGTTAAAGAAAGTTGCAATTTTGTTTTGGTAACAGGCATCTTTTCAAGGCTGCCTCATTCTTCATCTGACTTTCTAAAACTGACATTGGAAATATCTAGGTAGGCCATAGCTATTAGCAACTTAAAAACTGGCTTGGCTGTTAAGTTACTGAAAAGAGCAAAGAAGCTAATTTCTCCACCCATGTGTGATGATGAAGGGGGGAAAAAAAGGAAGAGAACAGCCAGAAATAGCATCTTTTCTTTCTCTTTGAGTGTATTTTTCTCCACGCTACCTTGAACATCCTGTGAATAGTAGGCAAGTCTGAAAAAATCTTACAGTATTTTTTAGCTGCTTTGTCTTGTGCACTCTCTTTAATATTCTGATTGCCAATCAGAAATAAAATTTTTATTGGTAGATGTGGTGAAAATTAATACCCACCTAGTCAGGCAAATATTGGTACAGAATAAGTATTATTGATTTCAAACTGGAATGACAAAAAATGTTTTCTGGAATCCCACGTTCTGGTATATTCCCTTCCCCCCCCAACAGGAATTTCGGGGGGGGCAGGACATGTATTGCACATTTAATATGCAATAAAAAGTAGTGGGGAGTGCCCTAGTTCATCTAATGCCGTAGTTTAGGATATTCTGCTTCAAGTCTCCCCAACTCCTGTGGATATCCTGTGGATTTCATATCATTCATTCGGACTGAGCAAAATCTTCATGGGGCTTTTCTCCTTTTTTTCCGCCAGAATTGTCTAGAACTTGTCAGCAAAAACTTGAAGAAGTAGAAATCAAACATCTAAACTTGACAGGGTTCCCTTGAACATGCTGGCGTCTCCCTCTAGCATTCGACAGCTTAGTAACATTACAGATCTCGGTCCCGAATTTGTGCTTTCATT